GTCTTCCGCTTTTAATTTCGGTTCTGAGAACCATTAGACACTTGTGAAAGTTCGTTTTTTAGGCTAATTGCTTACCATTGTTCGTATCAGAGTGAATCCAGGAACGCTGCGAGACCAGAATGAGTCCTAGTCGCGGCGGACGCGTTCCTCGCTTTTTCTTCTTTGACTCTATTATGAGCCAGCATCTCTTGCAAGCCAGTCTTCTTCTTCGGACGTGATTTCGATCTAGGGATTGTAGAAGCCACTACAGCCTTTGGACTAGGTACCGCAACGGTAGTCGTAGACACGATAGATGATGTAGATGCAGAAGATGTCAGAGCTGTCGACTCATAATCAGCAGCAACTGCGATAGATTGAAGCGGGTAGCTGCTCTAGAGCCGAATTTACATTGGATTGGGATATAGGGCGCTTCCGTCTTGGGAACAAAGACGCTGATCCCCGTTCCAAGAGGAAACACAGACACCCATCCACATTGAAAACATGTCGTTTGCCGGGCCCTTGTATTTTTGTTGCTGCGTGTGTTAGGGGTGTCTGTTCTGCCCGTTCGTCGTCGCTTCGTTCGAACGACCCTAGTGCTACTGTCACCAGCAAACAAGTAGACCCCGCATCTGGGGCAATTTTCGGGGACGAGTTCTGTATCTTTTTGGTGGGTTCTGCGAGTATGGAGATCAGAGAGAGCGGGCGAAATTGCCAGAAGAGTGTACGGAATCGCGGTTTGAAATTTGGCAGTATGGATGTCCATGACAAATTTGGGACAATAGGCTAAATTAAATGTATAGATTAGACGCCCATCACTTACATCCTTTGTTCTCGTTTTCAATTGAGTTCCGAAGAACAAAAGGGCGAAGGCACAATGCGTGCCATCAGCCTTAAGGATGCTTGCCTCACCCCAACCACACGGAATCCACCCTCCTTCCTCATTCATGAATACTTCAACTTCCAACCTTTCTCTTAAATCTTCTAAGAGTCGAAAGCACTCTGTGACGCTTTCCAACACAATGGGCTGGCTTTCGCGTCATTCTACACAATCTTCAGTTTCTTCATTCTACAAAGGAAACAAGTCTTCTCCTCCTCCAGAACCGGAACGGAAACCGGTCAGGAGCATCGAGCTTGTTTCCAGTGTTCGTACTGGTCCCCTTGGCTCAGGCGCCACTATTGTCCGCACTCCAGAGGAAGCTTTGCAGAACTCTGGGTTGTCCTTTCCAATGGAGAGGAAGCCTTCACTCCATCGTTCTTCCACCTCGACTTCATCCAGGTCTAATTTGAGACCCGCTATTCAGCGCTCTGCTAGTTCCGCCTCCAAGCTATTGGTGAGCCCCCCGCTTCCAGGAGATTCCCTATCGACTGTCGCGAGTCTAGTGCTGGATCCGACGAAGACGAGCTTGCAGGGATCTCCTGGCCCACCCCTCCTTCTCATACTTCTCCTCTTCCATCCCAGCGCAGTCTTCGTCCTTCTCTCAAAGCAAAATCCCAGTCGAGTATAGATGTATTCCGAGTGCCAGCTCTTCCTGCCCATCTCGCTCAGTCACCTCCTCAGCCGCCATTCGAGCCGGTTTTAATCTCTGGTGTTCCCAGTGGTATGATCGATACTTCCACAGTCCTGGTGACCTTGGAAACATGCACAGCGACGTACAAGAGCACCTTTGAAGTCGTTGACTTCGCGTCCTTCGCAATTGTGCTCCTACCTGCACTCTCTCTTCCCGAGACTGCGGCAGAATTCTGACGCATCGTCGATATATTCCACTGCGAGCGACGATATGTCCAGTTACCGGAATCATCTGGCATCTCAGGGCTTGCTGCCTCAAGCGCCTGTTAACCATCCACATTTTCCTTGACCGACCGAGTGCACCGTGAGCATAACTTCCTCCGTCCATATTCTCAATACATTGCTGATAGTTTCCTAGATACATGCATATTCTGCAACTATCTCCGTTCCCCTGTTGGAACTGCAGATGTTGCCGAGACACTCCCCAGGGCTGCACAGCTCCAGCCTGCCAACTCCCAGAGCCGTCTTGAAGCCCTCCTTGAGCTTCGCGATGAAGCGGCACATCTCCAGCTTGACGACCTCTATAAACTCTGCTCAGACGAGATCCGCCAACGACAGCCTGCTCTGCAGCCTCGTTTGCCCAGAACCCACTCTCGTGGAACGAGCTCCAATTCGAGCAGCACAAGCAATAACGTGGAAAGCTACAGCCAGCATACCTCCGTCTCCAGTATGCACACCCTCCTCGATCGGTCCGCCCATCGAGCAAGAGACCTGAGCATGATATCCGATGATCGTGAATCCACGAAAGCATCCATCGAGTGTTCACCAGACTTTGCTCCAAACAATGCACGTTTACGCTCGCCTCCTACTCCCGAGTCATGGAAAGAAGGCGGTCGTCATTCGGGGTCTGGATCCAGTACTCGCAGCCGTCATCGGATTGACCTGCAGTCGCCTCCAACGGGCTGGATTTGAGCTAACCAGCACGACTTACGATTGATATCTCATGTTTTTATGACTGGATTTTTGGACTTTGCTCTTTTTAATCTGTCATGCATGTAGTGTAGCTGTTTCTGAATTGTTAATACTGTATTTCTACACAAATAGCGTCAGGTTCGCATTCACGTTCTCTCATTCCTCGTTGTATGTTCAACATTCGTTTATTGTTTATTGTCGAGTAACTTACTCTAAGTACCTTTGTACATAGTCTATCTAATTGGAGGTATAGAATTTCTCCCACAGAGTGTGAATTTCGAAACCGAGGGAAAGGCGCCTGGCGCTTACACTGCTGACAAACCTCTGACTCGTAAGCGCTCTAAATTTCTATCGCGGAACGCGTCTTCTTTCAAGTTGTCCCTCACTCTTTATCCATCATGTCTGGCGGAACACCTGTTTTTTTCATGAGTTAGTGCCTTTCCTCGCTCATCTCCACTATCTAACGATTTGCGATTGGCAGATACGGCACCTGAACGCCAATCAGGTCGAAAAGCTCAGATATCCAACATTACTGCAGCAAAAGTGAGCAAAGAGAGAAAGAAAGAAGCAACTAAACTCTAATCATCGGTCTTGTAGACTGTAGCAGATGTGATTCGGACGTGTCTTGGTCCAAAATCGATGCTGAAAATGATCTTGGATCCGATGGGAGGGATATTGTAAGTCAACAAAAAAAAAGTGTACATTCACCAACTAATATTTCTCAGATTAACCAACGACGGAAATGCAATCCTCCGAGAAATCGACGTGGCGCATCCCGCAGCGAAAAACATGATTGAACTCAGCCGAACGCAGGATGAAGAATGCGGAGATGGTACAACAAGTGTAATTGTCCTTGCCGGTGAAATCCTCGCTCAATCTTTATCCCAACTCGAGCGGGACATTCACCCAGTCGTAATCATCTCGGCTTATAACAAAGCCCTCAAAGAAGCACTATCAATCATCAACCAAATCTCCATCCCTATCAATACTGAATCAGACGAAGAAATGCTCAGCCTCATCAAAACCTCATTAAACACAAAATTCGTCGTACGGTGGTCCGAGCTCATGTGTAAACTCGCTTTACACGCTGTGCGTATCGTCGCGCAAGACACTGATGGGCTCCGGACTGTCGATATCAAGCGGTACGTCCGGGTTGAGAAGATTCCTGGAGGTGAAATCGAGAAGAGTGAGGTTTTGCAGGGAGTGATGCTGAACAAGGATATTACGCATCCAAATATGCGGAGGCGTATACATAATCCTCGTATCATTCTTCTGGATTGTCCTCTCGAGTACAAAAAAGGTGAAAGTCAGACGAATATGGAGTTTTCGCGCGAGGCAGACTGGAAGAGGGCGCAGGATATTGAAGAAGAACAAGTCAAGGCTATGGTGGAGGCTATTGTAGAATTCAAGCCAGATGTCGTTTTTACTGAAAAGGGTGTTTCTGGTGCGTTGCATGTGGGCTCCTCTCAACTGCATCCTCAGATTCTCATCTTCACATGCAGACCTTGCCCAACATGTTTTCGTCAAGCACAACATCACGGCCATCCGTCGTGTCCGGAAATCGGACAACAATCGTATCGCTCTCGCTGTCGGTGCAACCATCGTCAACCGAGTCGAGGACCTGCGGGAGGCCGACGTAGGCACTGGTTGTGGGTTATTCAATGTTGAGAAAATCGGTGACGAGTGCGTATCATTCTCTTTTCTGTTTATTTTTCAACCACTGAAAAAAAAATCCCCTAGATACTTCACCTTCCTAACCCAATGCGCCTCTCCTCGAGCCTGCACCATCCTCCTCCGCGGACCCTCAAAAGACATCTTGAACGAGATTGATAGAAACCTCGCGGATGCCATGTCTGTCGCTCGGAATGTCTATTTCGACCCTCGCTTGATTCCTGGCGGAGGTGCGACGGAAATGGCAATTAGTGTCGGCTTGTTGGCAGCTGCGAAGAGAGGGTATGTCGGTGTTGCGAATTCTGCTACTGGTGCACACAATGCCAACTCTACCATCAACGGAATTGAATCATGGCCTTTCCGCGCAGTTGCGGAAGCTATGGAAGTTATTCCCCGGACACTGGTCCAGAATGCGGGAGGGAATGCGATTAGAGTTTTGACTGAGCTGCGCGCGCATCATGCCAGTGGAGAGGGTGGCCATTCGTGGGGAGTCAATGGGGAGACGGGGAAAGTTGTGGATATGAAGGAGTATGGGTTGTGGGAGAGTGCAAGCGTAAAGATACAGACGTTGAAAACCGCTATCGAGGTAAGTGATTTGACGCTTACACCCATGAATACAGCAACTGACTTCGACGTCTTACAGGCTGCGCGTATGCTCCTGCGTGTCGACGACGTTGTGCAGGCTGTCAGGAAGGATCGGGAGCAGGGTGGTGGGGGCGGACCGACAGCTGAGGAGATGATGGAAGCGCAGTAATATTTAGAAACGACGTTGGCTGTAAAATCGCGAGTATAAATCATATCTCCATGTAAGACTTTTCCCAGAAGTGCTCGAAGAGGAGGATCGTGACTCAAGTTCTCTTTACTCAAGTATGGCTACCTGGCGCAATGGTAGCGCGTTTGGCTTCGATTGCTGAATTGCACCAAAAGGTTGCAGGTTCGAGTCCTGCGGTGGTCATCAAGTTTTAAAGCTTTACCTTTTTTCTTTTTTACACTGTACTTAATATTGAAGAGATACTTTGTAGTAGATGGAACAAGTTTTCAGGTCAAAGCATTTGCCTTGCTTTTGAATTAGGTACAGTGATCTTGGAGTCCTTGAGCCACAGCTTTGATTTTTGCATGCGGAACTTGCTGCATTACATTTTGAGCATATCTAAGTAGATAGAAATAATCCAAAGGTTCTGAAACAAAGACTGAGCTACTTTAAGGACCTTCAGACAAAGGGCAAGTAATTACTGTTATTTTTTCTTGACAGCAAATTGCAAAACCGGAGGCCACTTCAGAATTCCCCTGGTGTGATGGCCGCTCGGCAAAGTCCCACTAGCGCTCAGTAGGCGCCAATGCGCAGCTCAACCGTAACGACGTTGGACGAGTTTATAATTGTCGCTTCACTGTTGTTTAGCTGCGTGACACAGAATAGAATTTCATGTATTTAGGTAAGTAATGTTTAACTATGTCTGTCATCCAAGCTCGTCACTTATTGACAGTTGGTCGCTTGAACTTTTTTGCTCTGCTATATTTAATGTACAATGGGCAGCCCCAGCTTGAACAGACATCGGTATACTGTATTGATGGTTATGTGGCCCTATTCCTCCTCTTCCTACACTGCAAGTAAGCACATGAATCGAGAATGTCAATGGTCTCAACAGGCGCTTGCTGGGCGCCAGCAGGGTGGTGCCGGGCGGCGATCACACCAGGGGAATTCCGAAGTGGCCTCCGGTTTTGCAATTTGCTGGAATTCAGGTCGAAATTTGTAGTCCTTGAGCCATGCCGTATTCTATTCAATCCAAAACAAATACGTCATGGCTTCAAGGACTCCATGATCTAGATGATACGAAAATCCTGAAGCTGAATCAAAGCATAAAAAAGAGCATGTGTAGAATTTATTTCTCTCAATACCGAACTGGGAAGGACATTGTACACGATGAAATACAAGCTACGCAGCAATGAACGGGTTACCAGTCTGCATAAGCAATCCGTAAGATAGAAAAGTAGAAAGCAGCCAAGGAGTGCAAGACATATTGGCCAGACATTGGAAGTCAGTAACATAAGGAAGAGAATGGAGTCATAGAGTCGAGGGGTGTCGACGTAAAAATACAATACATATTATTCCGGAATGAAGCGAAAATCCGCTTTACTTCTTCTGCTCTGCGTAAGGGTTCACGCTGTACACCTTGATGACGGGAGGGCTCTTGGTCAAATCTGCGGTGACAATGACCTGAAGAAAAAATTAGTCAGCGCCAATCATGACAAGGGAGGACAATGAAGAGATTTACAGGAACAGTCATCAACTCGCGGACGTCCTGGATCTTGTGCCCGGAAGGCCCATTCCTGAGGCCCTCGAAAACAGGTGCGGGTTTGGCAATAGACAACAACCTCTGTTTCGAGGTTTCTGGCTCAGACTTTTCACTGCGACCGAGGACAACTTCATCCTCTGCATCATCCTCATCAAAGAGGGCGCTTTCATCCTGAACCGAGCGGGAAGTTACTTCCATCTTGAGAGAGTGCTGCTCGGCGTTCTGCTTGATCTTCTTCAGGTGCTCGTCGTCACTGTTCTCAGCCAACCAAGTGATTACGTCCTTGTTAGACCAGTAGATCTGAAGCGTGTATGTATGTTCGTCATAGACGTGATTCTGGTTTCAAATCAGTGAACCGTAACATAACTGAGAAGGCAAAACTCACATCGATGGGCATCTGGTCAACATGAACACGCTTTTCAATTCCAAACTCGGGGACAAGAACATCGAACGCAGCGTCCAACACGTTGATGACTTTGGCCTGACGAATAACAGGACCATAACGTTGAGTGAGGTCGGAGATGAGCACACAAAGATACAAGTGTGTGGACTGCTCTTGAGCCAAAGAAGCGGAATCGCGTTTGCTGCAAAATAAATTCAGCGACGTTAAACTGGTCGGACCTGGAAAATCTACGTACATGTTACACTGCTGAGCCACCTTTGCCACAGCATCGCGGTCCATGGTGAATTTGGGCTCAGCTATAATATGAGCATGAGCGATCGATTGATTCAAAAAAAAAAATAATAATGGCTAACCTCCTCCTCCTTGAAGAACCGATTCGAGTTGTCGATGAACAAGGAGATCGGCATAACGACGGATGGGCGAAGTAAAATGAGTGTACAAGGGAACATTCAAAGCATAATGGTGGTATTTGGCAATATCCAGCATTCCACCACAGAAGTACTTGGCACGCTGAGTAGCTTTGAACGAGAGCAGCTCCAACAACCTCCGTGCAGTGGGATCGCGAATACTTTCGAAAGATCGCATCAGAGCACCAGGAGAGGAGACGTCAATCTTGTAGCCAAGACGTTCGGCACGTTCCAAGAACGTATTCTATGAACATGGTGAGTTGCACTCAATCTAACTCGGGTTGAAACTTACGAGACGTCGTTCAAGAGGGTTATCATGCCTGCGAAGAAGGGCTTGCTCGGGAAGGTGCACGGCAACGTGTTGTGCAACAGACAAGTTGGTAAGTAACATGAACTGCATCGAGGATTAGTAAACATACAGAGCAACGAAACAATGTGTTCACCTCTTGGATCAAGTCATTAGCATCGGTACGCTGATGCTGCCAGCAATCAACCGGTATGCCGTTGTCGTCAAGCTTGAAGTGCAACTGAAGCGACTCGAGGCTAAGAGTTCCGTTATCAAATCGTTCTTGGCGTAACTTCTTTGCAAGACCATGGAGCACTTTGATATCATGTTCGATATCGCTTGCATTGTGGTCGGGTGTCACAGCTACTTCGCCTAAAGACTGTCCTTCGATGACATTTTGAGCATCCTCATAAGATAGCTGAGATGCCGAACTAATCAACGATATCAGGCCTGAAATAGACAACATGACGATTAAGACTTACCGGATGACTGTCTTGCCAAACCATTTTTTGAGAACTTTACCGTCCTTGCTAAAGGTGAAGAGAGCAGAGAAAGCGAGGCGATCTTGGCCAGGCACGAGACTGCAAAGCTGTTCGCTAAGAGCAGGAGGAAGCATAGGAACTGCACGCTGAACAAGATAAACACTGGTGGCGCGTTTGCGAGCATCGCGATCGAGCGCGGTGTTCGGTTTGACGAAGTGGGACACATCAGCAATGTGAACACCGACTTCGTAAGTCCCATCTTCGTTCAATTTGATAGATAATGCGTCATCAAGGTCCTTGGCCGTAGCAGGATCAATAGTAAAGACACGCGCTTCACGAAGATCCTTCCTGATCTCCAGTTCACGCTCGGGAATACTAGGAAACGCACCAATTAGGCACAACTACAATCAAGGAGGATAATGCCAACTCACGACCACGGAATAGGAGGTAAGCATTTCATAACGTTGTCGGAGAACTCTTCGGTTGGGAAGTTACAGTCCTTGAGAAGAGCACTCGTTTCGACCTCAATATCACCAATAGGGCCGAGTTCTTCAACCAAAGTACCGAAGGGATGAAGGGAACTAATCGGCTGCGAAAACGAACATGTTAGTGTGAACACCGTTCATTAGAAAGAACAAGGACTTACGTGGCGCTTGATACAAGCCACGAATAGCTTGTCCACATAGGCCTCCGAATTTTGAACAAAGTCTAGAGGCGCCTGCTCGGTCGGAATAGCAATAAGGGGAACACGCTTGTCGGTAGGTTTGAACCAGACAATCTTGGGACGTTCAATAGGTGCACGTCGGGGTTCATCACCACGGTCGCCTTCACGCTCACGACGTTCAGCTTCCTGCTTTTCCTTCGTAGCAGCAGAGGAAGGACGCAAGAGACCGAGCGTTCCAGAAAAGAGCTGTCCTGGCATACGTTCAACAACGGCGACGACGTGGCCGGCGAACTGGGGCTTGACGTCGTCGGTAACCCTAGACAAAATATTAATATCGCAATAGACATAGCCATCGAAAAAAACCACTTACTCTTCGTCCTCAAACAACGTGAGACCTTGTCCTTCGACCTCAACATCATCCTTCTTTTTGTCGTCCTTACGACCAGCGGTTGATTTGAGGTCGTAAGCGGCATTCTCTTCCTTTTTCCTCTTCTTCTCTTCCTTTTCTTTTTTAGTACCCCAGACTTCATCGACATCGAGGAGCTCAACAGCCACGATATCGCCTTCCAAAGCACGGTTGCGATCTTTGGAACCGCAAATGTAAATGTCCGCATCGAGGACTTCAGTTGCAACATATGCATCTGACCTGTTTCGTTTGTTAACACGCAAAATACCGACGACGAGTTTGCCGGCTGCGAGAAGGGGAGGGAGCGACGCCTGAGGAAGGTATGGTGCAAATAGAGATTTGCGCTGTGGTTGGTTAGATTGCTGTTGTAGCTGAGACTGGAACTGTTGTTGTTGTTGCTGCAATAGGTTGATACCCCCAAGACCCATACCCATCATATTGGCGGCCATCATGTTGGGCAGCATGTTCGGGAAGCTGAATGAAGCCATCTTGTGATGATGCCCTCCAGCAGCAGCACGGAACTGCTGCAGGCTTTGAAGCTGCGCTTGAGCCTGAGCGAGATCTGAAGTGAACGCGTTGTTCTGGATACCGCCAACGCCACCGTCTACAAAAGTAGTCCAGGGTTAGACTAAACAATCAGTAATAAAGCAAGCAACTGGACGTACTGATACGCCAACTATTGTCAGCACGGGAAACTTGTCGAGAATGGCCATTGAAGTTAGAAGGAGCGGAAAAGCCATCATCGAAACCTTCGTTAAAGCCCCCAATGGAAGCACCCGGACCTTTATTAACTACGTTCACGCTGTGTCGGCGACCGTGTCCTCGCGGAATACCTTGGGTCTGGCCGTCAAGACCAAGACCAAGACCACCCAAGTTATTAAACTGTCCCATAGGATTCTGAGGCGCGCCGAAAGATGCTCCAGCTCCTACACCGGGAGCAGTACTCTGCACACGTCGATGGCGGTTGGCGGGAGCGAGCCCAGGTGTCTGGAAAGAGAGAACCTGGTTCGAGG